TTATTGGTTTTGTAGATATGGAGGACAGAGGTTGAGTTGGTTATTCACATATGAAATATCTAAATTGGCTAGCTAGTGGGGAAAAAAGACAATTTGTAAACAAACAGCACTGACAATGTTGTAAGTTCTCTCTTCTTTTGTTTCTTGTCTTTCTTGTAGTGTATATGTTATCAGAAGGTGTACCTTTTGTAAAAAATTATGGTGTCTTGTATTATAATCCCATGTGGGATGGGCCAGAAGTCTGGCATAACACAGAAATAAAATAAAACTAAGATAACATTAGCTTAGTTAGTTAACAGTACATACAAATTACATCTTGCAATTACTGGTTGTATGCATGTTCATGTAAAAGTTTATGTGGTACAATCCATTTTAATTTAATGTTTAAATATGCTGTGTAAACACTTACTTTATTACTAGGTGAACTGAAAAACAGCGGGTGCAACCGACTCCTGAGAACAAACTTTACTCAGGAATAAGAGCTGGAATCAAATGTTTCTTGGAGAAGCAAAATCAAAATATTCTAAGTGATTAAAATGACTTCATTTGTAGGCTTAGTAGTTTGTTCAAAGCTAAGAAAAAAACAGAAGCTTTTGCAAAGATTCATCCTGAAGACGCACACTATTGCAATGCAGTCACATATCGCATTTGATCTGGCTTTTATGTTGAGATTTAAAAATGTGCACGGTGGGAGTTCATTTTAAACAAACAGTCAATGCATAGGCATGAGTATGCATAACTATTCAAGCAAGATCAATTTTCTCTGGGTCAGCATTTTGACAAACAGAGACAGAAGAAGAGAGGCACTAACCAGCAGTGCCAAGTTTAAAAGCTTGTTCGTTTCTTAAGAAGATCAAAGGTATCAAGGCCTTGGACAGACATGAGACGCAGCCTCTGTAATCTGCTCTCCATTCACTCCCAACAAAGAAAAACAAGGCGTTTCTCTTTGGGAAATCCTGGAAAGCATCCCAGACAGTCCTTCCAGCAAACCAACACTCTGGGATCTCCCAAGCCTCTCCATGGGCAAATGATGATTGTCAGCATGCTGTGTGTTCACATTCAAAAGTTAAGTGATGTGCAGTATTTATTTTTATTTGCTTATTCATTTATTGATTGCAAAGCTAAAAACACCTCTTGGACTTGGATTGAAAGTGACTTAAAAAGTTAAGTAGCTGCTTTTAAAAAAATGTAAGTAAATTATTTTTTAAGCAACCAAGTAGATCTAATTAGAGCTACAGCCAAGCTCTCCCCATAATATGATATAATGTGGTTTAATAAGCAAGATCAATTATTTTTATTGACTTATCCATAATTTCTTAAGGGGATATTTCACCCATGAGACCATTAAAAAAAGAAAATGCTAATATCAGCATTTCATTGCAAGTCCAAACACTGGCTGAAGCTAAATGAAGTACATCAAATAAAGTGGTCCCCAACATTTTTTTGTCAATCAACCCCACAGACTTGAGGTGTTACGTTTCTTTTTCAGTATGTTTAGCCAAGTTTGCATACATACTGCAGCAACTCAATGTGACAAATGTTTCACCAGAATAGCCACATTCAGATTAAGAGAATTAGATGAGAATATGGAAGCCCTTCTCTTGTGTGTAATATCAATCTAATGCTACAGTCAAAAAATGGTTAGCATAAAAGCTGGAAACAGGGGAACCAGCTTGCAATGCAAAATCTACCTATCAGCACTTCTAAAGATCAAATGTGTTTTATCTGAACAATTGCTTCTGTGTAAAAACAAGCTGCTGGTAAAGGAGAGTTTTTATACTAAACTAAGATAGCCATTCGCTAACTTTAGCTAACTTTGTTCAGATTACACAAACAAGATATAAGATGTTAATCAATATACTGTAGAAGTGCTGGTAGGCGAATACTAGCTCTTTCCAGCTTCTTACGTCAGACTCTGAGCAAGAACCAGCCCTTTTCTCTAAATGCAAGCCTTCCTTAACATTTTGGGAAACTGAGCAGCTGGCCTGAAGTTGCTGTATGTTTATGAAAATAAATATACTCAGCAGCATCACATCAGTTTGTAGTACTACACTCACCGGACACTTCATTAGGTATACCTGTACAATTGTATGCAATTCGATGCGACACTTCCACCTTAACATCTGTGTTTATGAAACTCTAAATGTTTCAGCATTTTGAGCTCAAATCATCATTTCTGTTTTCCACATTAACTAAGCTTCCTCATAATCTTTCCACACTCCTTCTAATTCGTACAGGAGCCCCCGCTTGGGGATCACTGCTCTAATGAAAGAAATACTTCTCCATAGAGGAACTACTGACTCGGCTTGCACTGCATTTCCTTGTAAGACTGCATGGAATTCACAAGTGTGTGAGAAGGACTGAGTGATTACAATAAACCATAGAGAGATCATCTATGAGCAGGCAGGAGCTGTAGGACCCTCTGAGGTCCATGGTTGAAAAGGCCCACTTGACATACCTGGCGACATGGAGGCCTGGCCCAGGGACCTGCACTGTGCGTCTTTTAATCTGCTTGTTGCAGGACTGAATGATTCATAGGCTTTGAGATGGCTTCACTTCGCTACTTGCCCTTATGGGATGAGCTTCTGCATTTCATGCTTATGACTTCTCACTTTTGTGTTGCTCACTGAATTTACAACTTTCCTTTTTGCTGGTAAAATGTAGCCTCCACGAGGCCTGGCAGGCCTGAGAGTATTTTCTGGTGGAATCATGATAACACAGGCGTTTGCCTACTTTACAGTCATTTATATTCTTGTGATTTGCTAACAACGGCTAGATACGCTGATTTTGATGATCTCACTACACAGGCTTATATGAGCTTAAGCAGTAATGTAGAAATCCCTAAATTAAAAATCACTTTGAATTAAACCAGCATCCAAAGAGGCAATACACAGTATCTAATTTTGTGACTTTTTCATAACACATTAATCCTCCCAAATGGGAGTTGACAGGATATCATATGGTACTGTAGCACACCAGATTCCTCAGGAAGCAATTACTATGAATACATTTTCTAATAAACTTGTACCCATCAGATGATAAGCAATTAAATGTACATAATTGTGGTTTCCATACAGTAATTTCTAAGCTGATTAGGTTTGGGTGCTTTACAACCTGAATGGGAGAATATTAATAGGGCTTTGGTTTGATTTTGCTGGTTAGCGATGGCAGCTCATCAGTGAATCATATGCAAATGAGGCCTCAGGAAGTGCACAAAGCCTCATTCCTGGCTATTAGAACTGTCAGGGGAGGGAGGGACATGTCAACATGCAGTACACACACACACAGATATGCATTCACACAAGAAACACACACATTATTGAATTGTGGAAAATTACATATTGTCTGTTCGCACTTCTCTATTTAACTGGTAATAAAATTCATACTGTGTATGTTTAGTTTTATGTATTTGCAGCTCTGAGATTTGAGGCTCCACAGTGACATTTTTATTGATAACCAGTACTATAGTTGTGGCAAATACACAGTACTGGGCTATACATGATACTGATACAGGGACGCTTTTAGTTTAATGCTAATTTGATTTTCATACCACTTTCTATAAAGGCATTTTTTTTTATAAACAGTTAAGAGGTTATGGGTAAAGGCTTTAATAACAGTGCAAAATTTATATTTGCTTTAGGGATTAATTATAACCAGGTAATAATCTGAGTTACAAGGTTTTGATTTCTTTTTTTTGGCTGGTGTTTGATGTTGGGGCACCTGCTCTAAAAATAATGACTTGAGATCTGATTGAGACATTGATTACTAACATATTAACATTTCATATTGTGGACTTTATGGCTTATTAGAAGCTATGCTTTGCTAGCTGATTACTATCATTTGTATCTATCTTTTTTGTCCACTTTATCCCCACTCTACCTTTCTGAAGTTCTGAAGCCAAATACTCCTGGTATGGCGCACATATCTTCAAACCAGATGTTATTGGCTACTCTTAGGTCTAGACTTAAATCTAAAGTGGATCGTATGTTTGCTGTTTACCTCTGGAATAATCTTCCATTAGATGTTTGTGTAGCTCCTACAATGGAAGTGTTTAAGTCTTGCTTCAAAACATGTGTTTTCTGTAGCATTTCACTCTAACTAGTGTTATTTTCTTGTTTGTTTTTGCCTTGTTTTTATCTATATGATGGTTGTTTGTCTGTCTTGTGGTGTTTTTTGATACACTGGAATTATTGTACAGCACTTTGGTCAACCTTGGTTTTTTTTTAAGTGTGCTTATAAATGAATCTGATTTGATTGGACTTATATTGTATCAAGGATTCCGTAGAAAGCAGCATTAATACTAGGTGGATTATCCTGGTGAGGTAAAGTAAATTCAGTTAATTAAACACCTGGGCATCTAATTTGTTGACAGTGTTCATGAAATACTTAATTAAAATCCTTGAAAGTTTCATTTTAAGAAACTGTCAACCTTTCAGACAAGACTGCGCTCAAGTTACACGTCAGGTGTGCTCAGAAACTGAGTGACACTGTTGCTTTGTGAAAATAAATGTCTACATAAGATATTTTCTCCTTTCAATCATCTTTAAATAAGACAAAAAGGTTAAAATAACTGAAAACACACACTTATACAGAAGCAATTAACATTTTTAAGAAGTTCTTGCCTGATGCCAGTAAGCTGACCATCACAACCTTCAGTAAATATCAACTAAATTGGACCTGGACTAACGTTTACTGTGACTGAGCCTCCTCCTCTCTGTAGCAGTGTGAGAAGATCTCAGTGGCTGAAATACAAGAATGATTTCATTTCAAATCCCAGCTACCGTCTCCACTGACAGCGCTGCTGAGCCAAACATTTCATCTGCACAAACCTGGGAGTCTCTCCCGGATACAAACCCTCAGGGAGCATGATACAGCTTTTCTTTGGGATTTAACTAAGGCTACCATTCAATTATACTGTGAGCCTTTCGGTGTGAGAACAGCCTTCTCCCTCCTGTTTGTGAGCGAGTGTATCAGAAATAACAGTAAACACCGGACAGCAACGCAGTATATAATCTGTTCTGGTTTATTATCAATCTGATTGTTACTTTTCACACAAAATATATAGTTTTCATTAAAGCTCTCAGTATATATTTCAGATAGCACTATTCATAAAGTCATTTATTATCTATACATAGAAGGAATAATCTGTTATGCTGCACAAAATATCACAATATACCAGTGATGGAGGGACAAACAAATTTAGCAACTATTCTAATGATCTGCTTAGATATATCATATTGTTTCTACTCATCCAGGATGACAGTATTTCTAAATAGAAGCACACATAGCTCAGTTGGCATGTTTCACATTTAATATTAATTCATGTTATAAACTATTTGTGGTAAATGTAAAATCAATGCAACAAGCAATAAAAAAAAAATCCCCTGATGTGTTGCAATAATCACGATCTGTGATGCTTTTCAAGCAACATCTGGACACAAGAGTGAGATGTCTGAGCCCAAAACACAACACGCACAAACACTGTAACATCTATACATGTGATGCCGGGCATAGTATTTGATTCAGCTTACAGAGGAGGAGGAATGTGTGGAGTTCATTTCCAAAATGCTGCATGTATCCAATATGGAGATACATTTTGAACAATACTATGATTTTTACAGACAAGTACTTAATTTACTTTACATACTATTCATCCAAAAGTACTACAATGGACAGCTGCAGTGATTTGTCAATTATTTGATTAATTGATCTGCAGCTATTTAGATAAATGATTCATCTTTCCTATCATTTTTTCATGCAAAAATTACAAATAATCTCTGTTTCAGTTTCTCAAATATGACAATTAGCTTTTTTTCTTTATTATATTCAACCGCAAATTGAATATCTTATGGTTTAGGCTGTTAGCCAGAACAAATATGTGAAGTGATGATGTTACTCTGGCCTCTGAGAAATGATTATTTTTATACACTTCACACTAAATGATTAATTGGGTTATCTGCAGGTTATGTGCTAATAGTCACTTTCTAATCAACTGTACCTGTTTTTAACAGATAGCTCATTTTGGAACAAAAATCTTCACTTGACATCACATAAACATCTTGTCAGTGGCACTAGAACAGTATGTTCAGGAACAACATCACAGTTATTGAGGATCAGGCTTCATATCGACAAAACCTCTCAGAGTAGGAGCGCTGATCTCAGCTCCTGCATCAGATCCAGTCAGACTCTCCTGAATCTCTTGAACGACACAGATCAGCAGTCGTACTCTGAGGCAAAACTGGAGAATCCGAGATCCAGGTGAGATATCTGGCACAACATTCATAAGTATACAGTATATATAGAGGTGAAGAGGGGGCAGAGACAGAAGAGGGAGAAAGAGTGGGGAGAAGGGAGGGCAGAGAGAGATGTCAGTGTTGAGTGGGCAGAGGAAAGTGGTGCTCAGCCAGCGAGAAGAAGGGGTGTGTAGGGGAAGGGGGGTGATGCCATCACTGAGGAAGAGCTTTCAGGATGGCGTTCACCTCCTCTGCCACGGCTGTCAGTGCAAACTCAAACTGCTCCTGAGAAGGGGGGGAGGGTTGCAGGGAAAGAAGGCAGGGAAGGAAGAAGAAAGTTTTAGTGTGTGTACAGACATATCACTGCTCAGTAATGCCATTGGAAAATGAGCCATCTCCTCAACCTTCACACTTGACCCTGCCTGTGACTTGAGGTGAAGGTGAAGCGCACTCTGAGCTTTAAACTCAGAGTGCACACGTACCCGGCACCACCATCGATCCAGCTGGGTGTGTCTGAAAATTGAGCTTTTAAGTCAAGCTGCAGTGCTGTGTGTGTATGTGTGTGTACATTTGTTTGTGAATCCAACTCAGTTTTCCCTGAGGAGCGCAAAAGGAGCTGACTGATGTTTACCCCACGGACCTGGTGTTTTAAAATTCCACTCCTCTCCCCAGGCTGCAGGCCATGGGGTCCTTTCACAGAGAAAAGGCACGTAGGAGTTTTGAGGGAGCAGTCTTTAGATGTGTCATCACACAGCCTGCCATAGTCTGGCCTGAGGATAGGTTAAATCAATATGGAGCAGTCACTGGTGGCCATGCCTTTCTCTTTGCAGTGGAGATTATCTGAAGTGTTCGTGTTTTCTATTTTTACATGCCTTCTGATCTTGTGATGCAGCCTGCCATTGTAGGTACATGTATCTAATCCCAAGTTGAGTTTGAAGTTCTGTGTAATAAAATAATATTTTTTAAAATCAGATACTGTAGAATCTGTGCTATTTAAATTCGCACCACTGGGGGGAGATCGATCTCTGCTCGACAGATCACAGATGATTTAGTAAGCAAGAACAAAAAGAGTCACACATTGTTGTAATTACTGCATGTTTGCATGTTGATGTCAGTCAAAAGGAGGAACAAGAGAGGAAACGATGTTTTTATGTATAAAATTAAAGTGGCAACATCATGAAGGAAAAAAGATAATTTTCTGTCCAATCCTAGAAACCTAACTCTAAATTTCATGCCTCATTACAATTTAATTTCTGTGTATACCTAGCATGAAGCCACAAAGTGGAATCAACAATATTACAATATAATTTCACTTAGACTTGTCAGAAATGAAAAAGAGAGAGTGCTTGAAAAGCTTTTCTCTGCTGAACAGAGAAGGGCTGTAAAAGCAGCATTAATGAACCATCTAGGAACACTGGAGTCTGGTAGCACGCAGCTTCCATAAATACTATCTCCCACCACTGCATGAGGCTTTCTTTGACTTCTTTACTCTATTATTATTATTACTGTTATTTACAGAGTGTGAGAAGAAATACTTTGCACACATCCTAAAGTATTTCCTGAAATGGTTAGAGATGGAGCATTCATCTGTGGCAAAACTGCTGAGATGGATGAATTTAAACAGCAGTGTGGACGGTATTAGCTGACATTCAGAAATATGAAACTGAAATCAACATGAAAGAACATTTTTGATATTTGATTTAAAGGGGTTTCAGTCATTTTTCAAGCAAACATACCAAACGATAGCTGCTTCCCGATTCCCAGATGTGAGGATTTGCTGCTTTTCGTTGTTTTTTTTTTATTTAAATTGAAAATGGAATATCTTTTGGTTTTAGACTGTAGGAAGGACAAAACAAGAGACCTTCGATATTGAGAAATTAAATATTCTTTCTTCTTTTAAAAGTTTTAGGATATTTCAATGACTAAATATCCATTCAATAATGAAAATAATCCTTGGTGGACACCCTAGTTATGCATCTTCTTAATTCCCCTTTTTATTAACTGTGCAATTTACAGCATGTAAAAGCTGTATATGGAACAGTTTAGGTTTAAAAAGTATCTTTTTAATATTTGTTCAAGTCATAGAAGTTAAGAGAAAATCTTAAAATGCTGCAGTGTCATGAGACAAAATGTCTCTGCAACAGAAGATCTTGGTCAGGTTCTCTCAGTCTTGTGAGATACTGCTGTATGTGGAACAGCGCGTTATTATCTTCCAAGACCATGAGTTTGTAATCCTGAAGCAGTTTCCCCTGATCCTATGCACATAAAGCAGACAATCATCTGTTTGAATGACTACAGCCCCTCCTCCCTCCCGCCCACTTCCCCTCTCCTCCCCCTTAACACCCCACCCCCACTGCTCACTCAAAGCTGGGGAACTTACCTTTGTCTGGACCATGCCAGCTCTCTGGTCTCTCAAGTGCTCCAGGGTAGCGGCAATATCAATCTCTTTAGCACCTGCAACAGACCAAAAATTGGACTGAGTTCAAAGCTGTGGCGTAATCCAGCTCACATCTGTCAATCTCTCTTTATACTGGGCTCCCTTTGGAACAGCACAGCGATTGAAAATTATTACATTCATCCCTCGAAAGACTTGGACGAGAGCCACAGACTGTTTCTTGATAAAATATGCAAAGGGATACTTTTGGGGTCTTGGAAATGTGCAATAATGAACTGAAAATATCTTCTGTGAGAATCTTGCTCAAAAATTGGTTTAGGTTATATATAGATCTAAAGTCGATTTATTGCCTTTGCTGCAGCCATACCAGTGATTAACCTGTGCTGCTCGCCTTCAACAGTGATCAGTTGCTGTTGCGTCGTGTCTGTTCTGGCTGATGTTAATCGGGAAATCACATTCTGCTTTAATGCTGATGGACTTTATGAAGCACACCAGAACTCATCTGAGGCAGAGAGCAAAACTGGAGAGAGAGCCACTGAACTTTGAAGATGCTTTTGAAAGTGAGACAGCGCAAGAGTGAAAATGTATGTGTGTGTGTTGGTGAGAGAGCGAGAAAAGGGAGGATTTAATGCAGCTGGACTCGGAGTACTCCAGTGCTCCGACAAGACTTTCATGTCTCAGAAGGGCTGGATTCCAAAGTTAAGCTGAGGAGAGGCTTTTCAAGCAGATAAAAAAGATTTGGCGAGCAAGATTATGTTCATTTTATACATTCAGGTTTGGAACAGGAAACAAAAGGTTAAAAAGAGACTGGGTGGCACCTTTCATCACCATGGACAACAGCACACTCATCACTAAACTACATGAACTCTATCAGGATGGGTCAGGCTTATTACGGTTGTATAGACAGAGAAGGGAAGGTCTGCATCAGAGGTGGCTGTCCTTAACTCTTCTGGTGGGGCTGGGGCACAGAGGGGGGGCGTGCAGAGAGTGAAGCTAACAGCCAGAAGTCAAAGGGCAAAGGGCAGGGGGCAGGCAAAGCTACGGTTTTAAAATGACTCAATGCGGCCTTTGGATGAACCCAGTTCCTGTGCAACCATAAGTGTTCATAAGTTAGATACTGCAAAAAAAAACAACAAAAAAACTCAATAGATAAATTAAATTAAACCTGTTTAATCATCCAAACTGCATTTACTTCTTCCAGCCTTGTTGGAGTTGAGATTCAGCTAAAAACAAGAGCTTTCAAAGTAGGTTCCTGTGAAACCATAACTGGTTTACCTATAATGATACACCAACACCACAACGATCTTCTCAAGTAGCTAGTCTTACCTATTTAATTTTATAGATATTTATATTGTGTGTTTGTATGTTCTTTTTGCCAATATATGTCCATATCAGCCAAGTCTTACTGTGTTTTTGGATAATATGGTGCCAACTAGGGACTGACTCAACTCAAAATTGTAGAAAACTAATTGTACCTGCATGTCTGGATTTGTACTATCCAGGATGATCTCAGGCAGTCAAGTTTACAAGTGTGTAAAACAGGAATAAGAATAAAGCAATAATAAACATAATGTTCTCATTAAACATTAATTTAACACTGGAGCAACATTTAAATGTATTTTTCCTTTACACATTTAATTCCCTTTTATGTGCAATCCAAATTCATTCATGTTCTGTTTTCTCTTTGTCCCCCCCGCCCATGTCTGCCTCTCTTCGTCGCCTTTCCAGGCCTCAGAGAAGTCACCCTCTAATGCATCCCCAAGACCCTCTGTGGAAAATGAGAGGCTTTAGCGTTGCCAGGGCGACGCTTCAGCACAAGCAGAAAGAGTGAAAGGGAAGTCATTGATCGTTACCTTTAGCCATCCTATTGAGGACCATGTCAATCAGAATGTAAGTCCCACTCCTGCCAGCTCCATCACTGCAGAGGGTCAGAGAGAGAGAGCGATCATTAAACTGGCAGAACTGTATATGGTTTTTTTTACAAGGAAACAAAATGCTCATTTACATCTGCATCTGCTGAGATACTGTGGAGTATATTTAAAGACAAATTAGTCTATACATACAACTACACACTGCTCAAAACCCGATACTTCAGATAAACACCTTAATTAGCAAGAATCTATTCTACCCCTTAATATTATCTTCAAATACCTGAGCACATCTGAATATCTGATGTTCCGGTAGATGTGATTAAGTTAAACCTTTGCACAGGAGTGCATGTGTGGTCTTGCGATTTGCTTGGCTACTGGGGGAGAGGGGAATGGCTTCGGAGGCACACTGGGGACAAAGGCTTTTAAATGCATGCGCCTCAGGAGCAGTGGAGAGGTGGAGAGGCCAGGAGCAGTGCGAGAATAGCTTTTGGAGAGCCTTGCTTTTCCATTACTCCAGAGATAGCCTTATGAAAAGCCTCCCTTTGTGCCCGGCGGCCATTCAACGGCTCTGCATGTTAATTGCAAACAAGGCATGCACCTCTCTCTAATAAAGGCAAGGCCAATAAAACAGGAGTTCGGCCTGAGCACCAGTGCTTCATTAATTCACTGCTAGACACTCAGTATGTACAGCTCCCTGAGAGGGAGAGTGGGCTGCCTGACCCCATGACGGACTTAACACGATGTGACTATTAAAAGTGGTCAGACAGATACCTGGTGTTCAATACAAATCAATCAAGGCCAGTTAACTAATTCAATCAAATAGGAAATGAAAGTGTCTGCCTAAGTGTCTTTGTGCCACAGACACAGTCAGTGGAATAAACAGCAGCTCTAGTGGACACAGATAGAGTAAATGGGCTGAGAGGGGTTTAACTAAAAAGCTTCTATCTTCCAACACACAGGCCATGACAAACACTATTCTGCCACTGTCAGAAGGTCCAAATAGTTGTACTTGCCTGCAGTGAACAATTATCGGGCAAGAACGACCCCGGTAGCACTTGTTAACCTTTCTGAAATTAAAAAAAAAAAAAAAGAGAGAGAAAATTGGATGTTATTGTTAGCTAGATGTCAAGTTGTCTTACATGCACAAGCTGGTACATCTTAATGTAGAACAGAATCGCTTCTTTTTTCTGAGTAATAACAATAACAATTAAAGCAAATGTGACACATGAGGGACTCCTGCACTGAGGTCTGGACAAAACTAACAGCTGCAATAATCCAAGGAACAAACAGAACCCTGAGAGATGCTTCCTCCAGTCAATCAAGCCCTTTAATTTCAGGACAGTGAGAGAGAGATCCATGTTGCATCATGTAAATAAATTGAGCATCATTTCAGACAGCGTTATTGTGACATGTGGGTGATGGACGTGGTGGTGTGATGCTGTGATTGCCGACCGCCGACGCATTAACCCTGGCCAATTATGAATGTTCTACACCACAGGCACGGTGAAGGCCAACAAGCCTTTTCACATCCCACTGTTGCCATGGAAACTGACTACACCGAGAGCTTCCGCATCTCTCCATTTCACTCATTTTCACCTTTCAACGACAAAATGAGAAGTAAATGTTTTTAAATACCAAATAATGTTTTTAATACTTGTTATATATTTTAGGAAGATGTGAAAAAACATCAGTATAAATCATTCTGCATGAATCTAAAATACTTACAATGACTCCTACTACCGTTACTACTATTGGTAAAATAAGTTGTGGCTTATAAAATATTACATATAATTAAAAATGCTACAATATATTATGATACATATTTTATATGAAACAGTTCTAATTAGTGAAATATTTTCTTTTGATATATTTCCATTTTCCCTGGTTTCTTTGTTTATTTAAGCTCAGTTTTTGAAATTTTATGCCACTGTGAGCTTTAAGATTTCTTTTTGCCATGATGAAGGTCTTTAATGACTTACAGCTCGACTTTATTATTTAAATAAATGCAATGAACAGTTAAATATCACAATGTGGTAAAAGTATGGACATCTTCAGTGACCAACTGATTATTTTTGCCAAAGAAATTTGCTGTTTTATCTTTATTTTTTATGTTTACAGGAAATTAAATGGCAAATAGATATTTTTACACTTGCAAATTTGTCATTAAAATCAAAATATGCCCTCAGTTATAGGCATATACAGATGGGTGGAGTTCCCATGCAAGCCAGAGGAAAGAGGAGGAAGAGGAGGAGAGAGATAGAGTCAGGAGTGGGAGAAAGACAGTTTGTGCACAGGCCTGGCTGAGGAGACACAGTTTCCAATGATCACTTTTGTGACTATGCAACTGGGCTCATATTACTAGCTGCAACATCACAAAAATGACACTGGCAACCGCAAAATACCAAGTTCGCTGAAACTGTGAAAACCCGTGAGTGAACAGTACATGGTGTGGATCTAACAGCTCTGAATCATGTAATAGGAGAGCACCTATTATGAATCTATGTATCTGTTAAACCTAGTCATGTACAGTACAGTATACACTGTCCTGTCCACAGGATTTCTGCAAACTTCAAGAAAACCATGTTTCTCTAACCCTGTGTTTGTTCCCTCAAGCACGTTCTCTCTCTCTTCTCCTCTCTGTCCTCTCTGTCACGCAGGTTCTCTGTGCTGGACCATCGCCATCCTTGGACCTCCCACTCCTCTGGCTGTGGGTGTCAGTTCAGAAATCTGGATCTGAATCCTTGTTCTTCAGGAGTCCCACTCTTATTTGTCTACCCCCCACACACACATTTTTATTCATTTGTTTCATGAGGTTTCTTCCATTTCTTTTTCATTGAAAGTTTTTTTTGGGAAGTTTTTCCTTATCTGATTTAAAAGTCTAAGGACAGAGGGTGTTGTACATTATACAGATTATAAAGCCACTTGAGACAAATTTGTCATATTGGGCTTTAATAATAAAAATGTGATGTGACTTGACTTGAGAGGTTTAAGTTCCAAAAACAGCTCCAAACAGCATCACAACTAAGTAGAAGTGACTGCAAGCTACAACCAGTTTGATTAAACAAAAGCACGTTCTCTCTCTCTTCTCCTCTCTGTCCTCTCTGTCACGCAGGTTCTCTGTGCTGGACCATCGCCATCCTTGGACCTCCCACTCCTCTGGCTGTGGGTGTCAGTTCAGAAATCTGGATCTGAATCCTTGTTCTTCAGGAGTCCCACTCTTATTTGTCTACCCCCCACACACACATTTTTATTCATTTGTTTCATGAGGTTTCTTCCATTTCTTTTTCATTGAAAGTTTTTTTTGGGAAGTTTTTCCTTATCTGATTTAAAAGTCTAAGGACAGAGGGTGTTGTACATTATACAGATTATAAAGCCACTTGAGACAAATTTGTCATATTGGGCTTTAATAATAAAAATGTGATGTGACTTGACTTGAGAGGTTTAAGTTCCAAAAACAGCTCAAAACAGCATCACAACTAAGTAGAAGTGACTGCAAGCTACACCCAGTTTAATAAAACAAACAAATAAAATAGCACCAACTCTGCAAGGAATAGATGACTTGATAACACTGTACCTCTCTTTTCTCACATCTACAGTATACTACACACTGGAGGGACAGACTTCCATCTACAAATCAGAGGCATCTATGTCATCTCGGGAGCTTTTTCTCTGCCTCTGTCGCAATCCCAGGCCTGGTTACGTCTCTGGCCAACATTTTCCTGACCTACTTTTTTTGGGATTCTTCTATGAACTGTCATTCCTTCATTTAGTCCCTAGATGTTCATGGACACCTTCCCGTGCCCTCTGTTCCCGGTCGCACGACTTGGCTCACCTGTTGCCTCTTCCTCGTTGGTTCCTCATCTTGAGTTCTACCTGAAGTCTAAACATTTCAGCCATTTTGTTACTAGTGCTCCTAATTTAATCGTGTTTTCTCCCAGGTCTGGATTTACTTACCTATTTTGAACTTTCTTTGGATTTTGAACTGTGCCTCTTTCCTCATACTCCTAGATCTCATGTTTGTATTTTCCCTTGTTTTTGCCTTTTTGCCTCTGGTCTTTGCACTATTTACTTCATTTTATATTATTTATTTAATCAAATGTTTAGCTTCATTTACCAGCCTACTGGCCAATTTGTGTGCATTTGGATCCATTTCAACTCAGTTTGATGTTTTGTTAGAGCAACGTTATAGTAGAATCTTGCCAATACGGCTTCTATTAGGATGACAGCTTCTCTTTGGGTGAGTGTACAGGGCTCCCTGTGGCTGGCTGACCTCATGAGGCTAGTACGGAACCTGCTAGCCATCTGTTTGCCCCGTCTCCCAGTCAGCTCCCTGTGTGGCCAGCGCTGAACACACTAGCAGCCCTGTTGCCTTTTGATCAGCTGGTACTAAGCTCGCTAGCAGCCCGTCCAAGCCTCACAATTGCTTTTCAGTTTCTCAGCCTGTTTCTCCTGCAACTAGCACTGGGTGTACTGTTCTCCAGCCTATTTCCCAGCTGGCTAGTACTGGATGTCCAGTCTTTTCTCCAGTCAGCTTCTCATGTGACTAGGCCTTCTAGCCCTCAGCCAGCCTCACCTCCAGCTAGCACCTGGTCTGCTAAACTACACAGCCAGCTTCACTCCCATTTAGTCACAGGCCTGGTAGCAATGCCATCATTGTCTTCCTGTTCCTGAACTGGTTCCCAAACTTGCTGCCAAATCGCCCTCCCCCATCGCCGTTCCTGAGTTGATTACCTCCATCGACCCCCCTTAGCTTTTGAGTTTGCTCCTGAGCCGATGTCCCCATTCTACGCCCCCTCACCTCTTTTCTCATTCCTGAGTTGAGCTCCCTGGTCGATGTCCCCACAGCCTCTGAGTGGGCTTCCACTTTGACCTTATTGATCAGCATCTTCCCAACTTTGAAGTACCTGTCTAGGTTGACCTCTCCAGCAACCCCTGGCTAGCTTCTTCCACTGGTGTCATGGCAGCTCCAGAGTTGGTCTCCCTAGTCGATGCTCTGTCTGCTCCAGAGTCTTTGTTTCTGGACTCCACTGCAAATGTCACTGCAGCTCTTGCCTTTGCAGTTGCCTTTCTGCTCATCCTCCAGAGGGGTTTCATTTGCAGTAGGCCTCCTGCTTGTCCTCTACAGGGATTCGACCTTCACCCTTGGCTTCATACTCATCTTCCAGAAGAAACCTCATCCATGTCAGTGCCCTCCTGAGTAACCTCTGCTTCTTGTCTGGTCCTGTGACGGCCCTTTTGAATTTTTCTGTTCATCCACTCTCCAGTCTCCATGCTATCTGGGGTCCCCTGTTCCTCAGCTCTCTAGACTTCCTGATGCCTGCCTGGGATCTCCAGATCCTTTAATCCCTTGGCTGTCCGCCTGACACATCTGCACCCTGTCTGGATTTATTTACCCATTTTGGACTATGCCTACTTCCCTAGAACTTTCCCTGTGTTGTTTTTTGGACTTGGCTCGGTTTCTGTTTTTTTGGCTTTGATCTTTGACTTTTAGGACCTTTTGCTTTTCCTGGATTGATTTTTGTTACACACTTGCATTTGAACTCTGAACTCTGTTTATTTTGTACTCAATTTAGTCACCCTGGATTCTATGTAAGCCATGTTTTTTCTTGTTTATCTTATTAAACTGTTAAGCTTCATTTTCCAGCCTGTGTCCCTATCTGTCTGTGTTTGGGTCCAGTTCTTCTCAGGTCTCAGGAGGGTGTAATGTTTCTGAGAAGAAAAATTACACCCCCCTGGGTTTTCCCAGAGACACCATGGCTGCTCCTCTGCCAGAACACATTATATGAAGAGCATAGTGAGGTTATTCAGTCACTAGCTTTCTCCCTCTCCCATGGTTTTAGTAAGATAACTCTCATTAAATTGGGTATTTGAATTAGGGGTTTGTTATTTTTAACTTTTCTCTTCTTCCCAAGCCAAGCCAGGCAGTGCAGGGCTGTTAATTTTCTGCATCACATGTGCTGAAGGAAAGTGAGGGAAATAGGCCCAGGACAAAGGGGATAGCACAGAAACACAGTTCCTATTAGAACAACCATTCTCTAGGTCACCAAAAGGTAGAGAGGCACAAGGGAGCTGGATCAGAAAGATGCTGACAGAATACAGAATATGAAGGCAAAAGCTCAGGATAAAGAGCAGCTGTAAAGGTGGAAATCTGTCTGAAATTCACTGAGTTGCAGTGCCTGGTGTCAAATGGCAGGGTCTTCACTCTACCTGCGGAAGTCTAACAGCGTCCTAGCTGAGTTGGGGATTCCGCGATCCATCCAGGACAAGAAGTGGAACTGGGTGACGGTACGCGTCTCATTGGTCTGCAGGTTTTTCAGGTAAAAGCTCCGCACCAGGAAGTCCTCACACCAAATGTGCTCAGACACCAAGTTGACCTAAAGATAGGAAGAAAATGTATTACATCTTTATACCATCCACGCTGACCAAAGAACGATTGCTTCACCCAAATTACAAAAATCTTCCGACTTGCCTCTAGTGGTTTGTGGATAGTTTTGGTACTATATGTACCCAGCTATCAGGAAGCACCTATTCCCTAACCGACCACACTAAGCTATCCTGTTTTCTGTCCACATGTTAAGGCTTTTTATTCAGAAAGACAGGAGGATAGACAAGCTTTGGGCTGTAAAATAAAAAGGGCTGCTGCTATTCTCAACTTTTATTTAATTAGTTTTAAAGGTTTTAAAGAAATGACACAACATATAATATTTTAGGGTCTTCATTAAAGGGTTCCCACCTGCTAGGCCAGTCTAAACTGAGAAGGAAGGCTCTGTATGGATATAGCAGGTATGAGCATCAGTAAAGTGTTGACATACTTCTAATTTGTTGAGCTTAATTGAAGAGTCATGTTAAAAGTTTTTCCTTCAGTGTGTTTAATTTCTTTATCAGTTTTGGAGATGACAAATAAATGGCTACCTGTTTTTCCTCAAGCCTTCTTGTCTGCATTTTGTTTGGTCCTCTCTACCTTTCTCCATGCTACATTTCATACCAACACTGCCATTTTCAAAATTATGAGATTCCTACCATTACCCCAATATAATTTATTAACCTGAATTTTAAACTTGACACCATTCAAGCTTTGTAACTTCAGTTTGACCTGCCTCATATACGTGGTAGACGTCAGATCCCTCATCAGGCCAATAGTGGTGACACTGCTTCACTCCATTTTCAGAAAGCGGGGTTAGCATAACGATGACAACGCAACCACTCTCCCACACCATCTACACACCAGAAGAGAGATGTCAGACATCCCTCAAACACAGTGAGAAAAAAAAACAAAAAAACAATTCACGAGCATTTGTAAGACATTATAATAGCACTAATATCCAGCTGAACTCTGCCAGTAGCTGCACCATATTGCACATTAACATTACTTGGCAGCCTTGTATTAGAGTGAAATTGATTTCTTAATCTTGATCCAGAAAGTATTAATAAATGTCACCTCTTTGCATGCGACAAATGATAAATATTGAGTCAAGCAGCAGGAGGCTGCATCATGTGTCGCCCCCTCAGTTGTCTGATAACAGCATCTACTGCACTGCTGCTTCATTTTATCTTATCACAATCTAATGTGTCCTTGGGAAAAAGATACAGGGCCACAGCTGTCATTAGGAAAATCAAGAGGAAAAGTGGGTTTTATGAATGCTATAAAAACACAATGACCCTGACTATACACTAATCACAAGCTTCTGTGATCCAGCCCAGTGCACACATTACATGCCAACTGTGCCAACTGTGCATGGATGTGATGAGATTAGGCACGGGGATAATGCGCTGAAGTACTATCAATTTGGACTAGTGAGGTTTGGCAAATATTTGAAGGTAATGAGGAAAAAGTATATTTTTACTGTCAATTTTCAGCCAGTAAAGCAGTTACAGAGCCTGTCATCTTTATGTTTTTTAAATGTGATAATGATTTCCAGGCTCAAAAAACATCTACTACATCACTTATATAGAATACACGATAGCAAAAAAGCCTCAAAATGACAGATATTGCTGCTTTGTGAACTCATGCTGATTGGCGTTCTTGCATTGAATTCTAAAAAGATTGAACAAGAAAACAAGCTCCAGCAGAGCTAAGGTAATAGCCAGAGATGGCAGGAATGGAGATTGACGGAGGAAGGAACGAAGGAATGAGGAGCGAAGGATTAGAGCAGAGTTGCCTTTCAGAGTGCTGCCTGAGGCCTGTGTGGATTAGAGAGGACAGAGCAAAAGATTTGCCTCCTGCAAGGTCCATTTTCATGAGAGCGCCAGTGTTTTCACTGTTTGTTTACTTTTAATAGAGGGAGAGAGGGTGATTTTCCTCCTGCCACAGTCCAAGATTAACCATAGCGGATAATGAATGACTTGTTCCAGACACAGGACTGATGTTTAGTGTGTCAGTCAATTGGTCTAATTTTCCATTAGTTTCTGCTGTTCAAGGCTAAATAGCACATTGTATTAGATAATGGATATGCATGCATTCCTCTGGCACAAATTTAAAAAAAAAGTGGCAAACAAAACACAGCTCAATTGACTATAAAGATAATTATCAACTTTTGCATTTGAGGCACTGTAAAATGTACAAATTAAACACAGGCCACCTTTAATTCCTATTTGAGCTGTAGTCACTGACTGTATGTAGTCAATTAAGGCGCATTTTTAGATCACACTAACACCATGTGAGGCCAGAGCCTGTGAGCAAGTTTGGGTGTTTTTCTTTTCTTGTCTTTAAAGTGTGATTAACTATTCACTAACTATATGCCTTTTGGTTTGAAGAACCAGACCAATCCAGAGTAAATTTGGCTGTGCCACCCTTCCCTGGTGACAAACAGGCTCTAATGTCTGTGCTAATGCAAAGTGAACTCTATAATAATGATACAAAGTGAGTATTGATTCAGTACATGCAGAGTGCAGGGTGCAGGAGCAGCTGGTTTGCCAGGATTTATGCTTCTACATCTTGGTCACCATATGGAGGTCCACTGATGACTACAGTGCTGTCCTATTAACACATATGAATGTCATTTGCCGACTAGGCATCATTTACATCATCAACAGTGATTGATGGCAGCTTCATCTGATATGTACGTATGGACAAGGAAATGACTGCAAAGGCCATGAAACAGGCAAATATGAGCAAACATCAGGACTGTGTACTAGATACAAATAAAAGCTGCAGGTTCCTAGTACATATGATGTAGTAGTAGTAGCATTACCTCATCTGTAACCTTGTGCCTCTTGTGAATTACTACTACATTTGAGGCACAGAGTTAAACATACAATTTTCCTAAATACAATTATTCTTTGTCTTAGTACCTCTGTGATTTGGATTGAGTTACACTGGCAGCATTAAAAGTATGCTGGATTAGTTACTAGCAGTTCCTGTTAGCAACATACCCATGGATGTAATTCAACCATTGCTTAAAAACCAAATAAAGAGTACTCTAGACACCCTGCTCTTGTACCTAGAAAAAGACAAAACCATCAGGTCAGACACAGTGCAGTTAACAGTGTCACTGTCACCTGGCTACTTTGAAACAGAAGACAAATTAAAACATGAGTGTCAGATGTTTGTATCATGTCTCTGTGTTGATTTTTTATTGAGCAAGGACATATGTGCAGTTTCTTCTTGCCTGAAATCAGAAAATACAGTCACAACTTGTGAAATGGGTTAAAAAATATTCTTTTGTGCACCAGTTGAAATATTTTTTCATCCAGACCGTTAGAAGTGCCTTTGAGCCTTCTGGAAAATCACATGCTTAGTTCTGTGACTCAAATGTAATGAAAATACATGACAGGCACAAACTAGGGATACATTTCTACATTTATACTACGTTGAAAAATTCAACCATTGCTGAAAGACCAAAGAGTATTCTAGACTCTCCTTTCTGGGACCAAGAAAAAGACATCAAAAACACAGACCAACCTGCAAACCACACAAAACCTCTAGGTCAAACACAGTGCACTTCTGTTGTGGTGCTTCCAAACCCTCTGCAGTGGAGAAACACAACGATAAAAGGTAAAAGACAAACACCAGTTAAAGAAGATGAGTTTTACCTGCCAGAAGTCGGCCACAGTGGAAGGAAGCGGGCCCTGTGAGGCGATGTAAGTAGGGTTGCGAGGGTCATGGTCCATCTAGGAGAGAGGGGATAAAGTGTGAGACAATTGTTTAAATGGGGACTAGCAGATGAAGCCGTGCTGTCTGGGTAAAGCACTCGCATCACAGCTTCCATCTGGATGGAAGAATGAAAGCTCATCTTTGGAGGAAAATGCTTCTAATTTCTTTTCTCTGTCATTCATTCATTCTCTCAGATCGTTTCTTGCCCCCTTGTCACATCCCTTCTGTCCTCAAGATGTGCCTGTTTTATAACTGCTGTAATTAAAGTAAATTCAAACTGTTACAAGTTACTACTGGTAAAATGTGAATGTCATGAAGTCTTACACATATTTGAAGGACGTGGTTTGTATCCATGTCAGTTCATCGTGTTTTTGCGAAATCATAGACTGGACAGAAAGACTGAAGACCTTGGACAAACCCAACTGATATTCATCAACAGACAGATAAATGTCCTTTTAAAAGATACTGCAGTTGTTTTTTTTAAGTAACAAAATATTTATGATGACTTCTTAATAGACCATGACAACTAAATAAATAAATAAATTGTGCTTGCCCATTCATTATCTCATCATTTAGGAATGATGATACACCTACTGAAGATAGTCTTACACGAGGAAAATGCAGCGGTAACAGAGTCATTTACCGAGAGACACGTCTCTGAGCGTAACACAAGAAACACCACTGCAGTAAGTCACAGGATCACACTTGATGGCTTTTTCTTTCTTGTCAAGGACACATAACATAACAAGCTTAAACACTCAACATCTAGTTTTTCCTTTAATTTCTTTGTGTATTTCTGCTTAAAAGGAATATAATTATGGATCATTTCTATTGTTTTTCCTCTCCTCATGTTCAATAACCTCAGCAAAAGGATTAATTTGAATGCTTTGAGCAACTGATAAAACCAAAACTTTTTGGAACATTTTAAATTAATTTGCCTATTATTTATCTCATGTCTGTTTGTAATTTGTTTTTGTTATGGTGGATTAAAGGTGCTAATATGTTTTCTCGTTTAAATCTCCTCTCAAACAGTGATGTAATAACAAACTATTGTGGGATGTGGAATATTACCTTTAGTACTTTATTTGAGCTTGGACATTTGGAAATACTTGTATGATACATGTATGATTCATAGTCATGTGTCTACTAGATGCGAGGAGGTACATCAGTGTTATTTCTGGGTTGTGTAGTTTTAACTAAATGGTCACTGAAGGGTGGAAGTGAAGCATGATGGACCAAAAATGGCTCCTTCAATACACCTAGAACTGGCAGAAATTTGAAAATTTGACAACTGTTTTTTGAGCAAATTTCACTAAATCAAACATTGTGTTCACTATCCATTAACTGTGTTATTCAATTTTCATCCTTTCTGGTTGAAATTACTCATGTGAGTTTGCTTAAAGACATTCTCCCCCACAGAAATGGAAGAGAGGTGCCAAATGCTGGTGCTGCCACTCAGTTTAACCAAACTCAAGGACACAGACATGCTGTAGCTCTGTGCTGACATCCCTGCATGAATACTAAAGCACAAATATGAAAGGGTAGTCCTGCATTTCTGCTGTCTTGCCCTTGCCATTGTATGAAACAGACAAACTACAACAAAAAAGGCAAAAAGTACTCTTTGGTTTGGAGTAAAATAACTAAAATACCTCACACAAATATTTGTTTCCAGAGAAGCATCTCAATTTTCACCACATTTTAGAGCCATGATGCTGTGTTTACAGAGTATAAGATAGAGGTTAGGAGCTAATAGCCAGCTTGAGCCCATGCTGGACAGTTTGAAAACAAAAGCATGAAGAACAGAGGAAAATGCAAAAGCCACACAGTGTTTGATTTTCTCAAAAAAACTGTACATTTCTTCAACACTAACATTGCTGTAAATCTGGGAGCGGTTGCATTATTTGTGGTCAAGCATCAACTGTTATTCAGCTTTTCCCTGTGTGTCACTCTGCTCGCCCCTTCCTTTTCCCTCTCTGACCCCGGATTCACAGAAAGGAGCAAGAGATTATTTACTCATAGACCACTGCCCCTGAAGCTAATGAGGAAGAAGAAGCTGCATTAACAGACATAATTATCACAGGTTTGCTGAGCCCAGCCAGGACTCCCTTTTGTGGTGTAATTACTGTCCTTTCATCCACACACAAATGCATCGGCCATTACTTTGGTTTTAACTGCCCCAAAACAGTCTTGGATAGCTTTACTTTATGCCATTTCTCTAAAGCACCAGTCAGATTTTTGCTTAGTTTCTTCCCTGATTCATTTTATTATAATAATATAATATAATAGAAGGCAAATGTCACACTACAGCACTAAGCTAAAAACCTCTGTGAATATGCCATTAGAGAACATGGAGGATAAGGAGAGTATCTAAAATTTTCCATAGTTTGATTCTGAAGAGTAATTTATTGCAGCTGTGTGTGCCTCCTTCATCTGTCTCCTCAGAAATTTTGGCACTGTATTTGAAATGCATAGCTTCCTGTTTCTTTGATAGAATCTCTTCTCAGCAGCCTCAGAGGAAATCATGGCTCGCAATGTTTCTGGGGTGG